CTCAGCAAGTAGGTTATTTATGCTAAATGTCTTAACAGTGTCAGTCTATAGTTTGCATGAAACTGATCAATGGACACTCAAGAAATCACTGAGGCCTTACCCATCACATTGGAAACCTTTCATTTTTTATTCAGTAGCCTCAGACACAACAAAAACAAAGGTGTAAAAGGTTCGCAGCCGCTGAAGTTGCTGCAGCTGTTTTGGAAAGTAGCAATGAGGAAAACATTCATCTACTATTTTATTCATACATTCCACTACTTTTATGAACCTAAGATGCTTTTTAACTCATTTCAAGCACCAAAACAATTCGTCCACATGAGTAAAGCTATGTTTTCGCAAGAGATATGAAGAATTTCTCAAACTGGACTTGAGTTTATCAGCTTTAGGGCCAAATGATCTCTTTACACAGTCCAGGTCAAAAGGGCCTCATTATAGAGAGAGCTGAGATTGTTCTGAATCTTTTGAACATGTGAGTATCATGTCATATACAATTGCCTTTAAAGGCGCATCTAGGAATATATGCTTTGACCCCAAAGGGTTAAATAAAATGCCTATATAGTGACTCCTGGTTGCTAGTCACATCAACTACAACACTACACAGAAATTTGAAGATATCAGTAGCATTCTTGATAATATTAATAAAAAAAATACAAACTAATTATGCCGAGGTCTTGCTCCTTGTGTCCATCTTCCTCTATATGGAGCTCTTTTGTTCTCTCTCTGTCTGTCTCTCTCTCTCTCTCTCTCTCTCTCTCTCTCTCTCTCTCTCACTCAGGACTAAATCATGGTGTCTCTATGTGGTTATCAGGTTTCCCCCTTTCTGCTGTCATATCTTTGTGGATCGTTGGAAACCCAATCAGGCCTGTTTAATTAAAGGGGGGGTATGTGGGGGTGTTTTTTGTGTGTGCAGTGTTGAGGCACTCGCCGTCGAACCGGCTCTTAAATCCCTTTCTTATGAGCTTTAGCCTGATACCTGATCCAGCTGCGTCCCTGCAGGCCCGGTGCAGGGCCCAGTGCTCGGTGGGCCGGGGGGAAGCTCATGTTACGGCTGGTAAAAAGCAGCCCAGCCGCAGCTTTGTGGTGCTGTCTGCCCTGAGCATTGAGCCACTGCTCGGGTTTGGCCATCTGGTTAAGAGGGCAGTGGAGAGGTCCTGCTGCGGTCTTCATTCTGACAGAGTGAAAGATTAAGCTGAAGTTGTGGACAGCTGCTCATGTGTTTGTCCCTTTTATTGATTACAGTTTGGGGTTTCGACAGAAGAGTCTTGGGCTTAGAAAGCGTGACAAATTCAGAGTTTTAGTTCTTTCAAGGCCACTAGCTTTAGTGAGTTGCATTTTTCCAATCAATAAATGTCAGGTAATACTGGCTTTTACATCTCAGTGGCGGAGAAAATTTGTTGGCCAAAAGAAATGTTAATGCTGTCATAAGAAAAACTCGGATCAAACTCGGAGTGACTGTATAGGTGAAGGAAAACCATGTTCTTAAGTTTAATGTGCTGTATATTAAGGTTGGGTGGGGTAATGGTAAAAAAGTATACCACAATATTTAATAATGTTGACGGTGTGTCTATTCCATATTTGAAAGGGTAAATAAACACATTCCACCCATTTATATTTCAGAGGAGCTCACTGTCTGGTGGTGTGGGAGCTTACCAATAAATGGCACTGATAGAAAGAGGGGAAAAATTTAAAGCCTGGAAAAAAACTCAGAAAACTAAGCATGATGGTGGATCAGTGACAGCTAAGAGCTACAAACACCACATAACGTTTTTGAATTATGGCTTTTACATCAGTGTCTTGACTTTGCAATTTCAGCTATCTTCTGAAATTATCCTTAGCTGGAACCAAGCCTGTGCTGTGCTGTGTGGCATGTTTGGCCTGCTTACTATGCTCTCATTAGCTTAGCCAAAATGGTACAATCCCAAACAACACAAAACAGGTTTGATTTTGGCTTTCTGTCACTCCAACACCAGTCACCCTGACTTTTGCTGTCTTAGATATTAATTTTCAATCATTTACAGTTACAAGAGTACCAGACAGAATCAGCATGTTCTGTGGTGTGAGGCACTATTTAGGTCTGTAGCCTTCTCACTAAGCTAATGTTAAGTTAGCCGATCAAGCTACAGATCCAAACCCCACAGAGGAGGTTTAATTTCACCTTTCTGCCCCTTCAACACCAGTTGCTCGACTTTGCTCCCTCAAATTAGAATCATAATCTAAATCATCATCTTGTGTCAGTGATTTAGTTCGCCAGAATTGAACATGTTCTGTGGTGAGCACAGCTGTCATCATGCTAGCTGGGCTAATGCGAACCTACTCCTCTGTCTTAGTTAGCAGCACTTTTTAACACTTAGCAATTGTTAGATAGATGGTTTGACATTTATTAAATGGAGACTTGAACACTGTGTTCACTGTGATTTTTTTTTTAGATTTTATAATAACACAAGATGAGACAACAAAAAAGCTTCATAAATGTTTGCCATGACACAGTCACCCTCCCAGCCCCGGTAATACCATATACCGCGGTAATATTTGGAGTTTAAAGTAGGGTTGTACGATACTGACATAAAATGCAATGTTGTATATCACAATGATGACATGAAAGGCGATAAGTTATTATTAAAATAGCATGTCTCTAACTGGATATGATGCACATACAGACTTTCTTTAAGGATACATAAACAGAAATCTAACTAACCTCTCCTTTAAGCAAATAGCAAAGTACAAAATCATAAAAGCACCTTTCAATACTGTGCACAATCAAAAGAAGGCAAATAATCGCAGCTAATTACATCAAAACTGCGAGCACATTTTTGTGCATTGAAAGACTGAGACAAAGTCACCATTATTTCAGCATCTTTTTCCACAAAGGCTACAAGAGATAAGTATTTTTAAATAGATGCACAAGAATTCATTTATTTATTTATTTATTTATTATTTATTTATCTATTTATTTATCTGTCAAAATTTAGTTATCAAACATTTGTTGTGACATTTGAAATTACTGCCTCACACAATCTTAATGTTTGATGCATTTTAGAGGCCTGTAGTTCAGGACAGAGGAGTGGACAGAGGAGTTTTAGAGATGTGCATGTATGAGTTTTGTAATTGGCCATATAGCCTGATGGTTAAGTCATTTGCCTCAGAGAATCATTCAATAGCCTTCTAATGGTTTGTGCTGGCAATGGAATCACATCTCTTTGGCCATGCATTTTTGAAATTGTTTGATCTGTTCTGTCATCACTGCACTAATGATGTGTTTATTGTTGAAACCCATATTGCAATAACAATAAAAATACAATTTATCACACAGCCCTACTTTGAAGGTATTAAAAAGGGGATCCTGCCCAACCCTACTGTATGTTAACCATCCTTGGTCCCCCATGATTTCCATGCTTTGAATTACCTCTATTTATTCTTGTTTTAATTACTTCTCACTCATGTTAAAAGTGCAGACTAAAGTCTGTTGACACAGAATGTAGGTCTAATGTAAACAATTAGACTAATTAAAAGCCTCTTAATTAAAAGCACCCTAACAGCCAAAATAGATATGCAGAAATATAAAGGTGCAGGGAGATGGATTTAAAAGCCACTGTATTTGCAGTGACACTAAAGAAATGCACAGAGTTCTGTGTAGCTTTTGCAGTATGATAAAACATTTATTGCTGGTTGAGCAGATAGTCTTTTTTATAAACAAAGTACTATATAAAGACCTGAAGCCATTTTATTATACCATTTTGTAAAATTTGATTATGAAGCATCAATCCATCCTCATCTTTTCTAATGTGCTCTCGTCAGCTCAAAACAGACACATATTCTTAAGCAAAGAGAGAGGCAATGATTTCTCTGTGTGCAGCCTTTGGGGTGCTATCATAGCAGTCCTTTCCGACATATGTGTGTAGTCACAGTAACAAGATTCAAGAGACGTTTTAGCCTCTATTTGAATTACATAGACTCTTCAACTTAAAATTGAAGGAGTAATGAAATGAACTGTAAATGAAGAAATAAAGCATAATAAATAAAATAAATAAAAAAGTAAAAAAAAATCTAACATAACTGCAAGGAATGCTGGGAAGCTCTACCTGAGTCACTACAACATTCATAGACAGGCTGTTCAAGACTGCACAAAGTCCTGGCTGCATTCCCTATATGCTTTGCAAGTAACAGCTAATTCCTATAAAATCCAGCTTGTTAACTTTTTAAATAAGAAGGTTGACCTGTTTCTCCCAAAATACATCACTGTTTACAGCAATCTGTTGTATTTAAGGAATAAAATAGATTATTGCAGTGTTTCTGTTGTAAATGTGCAGCATTTTTTACAACGTAAATTTGTGTAACATTGGTTAAAGTGCAGGATCTGTAAGCCAATTCCATTTCAGCATACAGCCCGAAGCGTAGCTTAGCTCACCTCACAGACTGGGTGTACTATAGTTTATCCTCCTTCATTAGCACTATGTAGGTCTGAGTCCTGACTCAGCCCTGCTTGTTTTACCATATTGAGTAGCGAGATAGCTAACCCTTTGGTAATGATAATGCTAATTTAACTCCTGCGTATCAGGGTTTGATCAATGGGAAAAGGGAACTTGTGCTAAAGGGTTATTTAAGATGGCTAAAGTGAATGGAGGCGGGAAATGAGATAGTGTAATCGGGCGCCAGGGGCAGGCTTTGTAATGCAAGTGAGAGTAAAGGAGGTCCCAACTCGCTTGGAATCTTTCCCAGGCCCCATGGACTTGTCAGGTGACGTAGGGAAGCTGTCACACAAACTCTAGCTGCTAGCTTCTTGTTCCTGCTGTCTCTTCTTTTGCTCGTTCTTTCTGTCTTACCATTTCCTTCACTCCATCTCACACACAATCTTCACAAGAAACTGTTCTCTCACTTCTGTGTCATTTTGTTAAAATGTTCTTGTGATCAGTCAATCAAACAGTGCTTGAACCATGAACACGCAAAGGCATACAACCAGTTGTTCAATCAAAGTCATCTCTCTCTCTTTCTCTCTCTCTTAGTAACAGGTGGTGAGAAATGTCTCAGAAGAAGATATTCCTGGTTCTGGTGGCAATTACTACTGTCAGCTTCCTGTTGCATCATGGGGGTCACCTCAGCTGGTAAGAACTTTAAATATTAACAGGAATGTCATGCCGAATTCACTCACCTTTTCCCAACTCTGTATGTAACAGATGCCAATGATATCAGAATCTGATTGGTATCACTGGGAAAAATATTTGCTTCAGACAGATGTTTAGATTTGGCTGATATTTCACACCAATATTTGATAACATGTTTATTGTACTCCAGAAAAACAGAACATTTAGACAGCTCTGGGTTACTATGCTAAAATGTCTGTATTTTATTCAGTTTACTGCGTTTGTAGCAGTAATCCTAACCTGGATAGTCCAAAATTCATATATCTTCACATCCCTAGAACTAAGAACAGTGGTTTGCAATATGCAATGCGAGTGCAAGAGGAAACTCTTAAGGGACAATTTAGGAACAACCAAATCAACAACAGTTGATGGTGAAGGCCACTCAATCTGCATTAATTCAGTAAAATGAGGGGAGGCTGGTAGAACTCTGGCAAGAACGTGAATGCTGTTGTGAGGTGAAGCCCTAAACTTGTCAAAAACAGATCAAGAAAGAAAATAGCTGGCCAATTGAGTGCAGAAACGTCTACAAAAGGAAGCTGCTTAAGCTCAATTTTGGCAAAGTTGCATGATAGAAGTTTATTTTCATAAGACAGTGGAATGGGGTTCAGGCACTCTTTATCAAAGTTCCTTCCAGGTGAAAGATTGTACAGTGTTACTCACTCTTTCTCCCTTTCATTCTCTTTCTACAGGACTATGGAAGCATTCCGACTGGGCTGCTCGTCCATGCGCTTCTCTTTCTCTACAGACGGTGGCAGTCCTCGCCACAAGCACACCAGTGTGGTTTTCCTGAAGACGCACAAGACGGCCAGCACCACAGTGCAGAACATCCTCTTCCGCTTTGCAGAGCGCAACAACCTGACTGTGGCACTGCCCGTCACGGCATGCGACCACCAGTTCTGCTACCCACGCCTATTCAGCAGCCATTTTGTTCACCCGCACACCACACCACCGGACATCATCACCAACCACTTGCGCTTCAGCCGTTCCGAAGTGCGGCGCCTCATGCCCAACGATACTGTCTACATCACCATCCTGCGAGAGCCAGGTGCCATGTTCGAGTCACTGTTCAGCTACTATAATCAGTACTGCCAGAGCTTCAAGCGTGTCCCCAATGGCTCCCTGGAGGCTTTTCTGGACGAGCCCTGGTCCTACTACCGTCCGGAAGAGAAGGACGCCATGTATGCAAGGAACACACTGACCTTTGACTTAGGCGGTGACAAGGATCGGCCTTCGGCAGATGCCAAAATGTATGCAAAGCGGTTCGCAGCAGAAGTGGAGCGGACCTTCTCGCTAGTCATGATTGCAGAATATTTCGATGAATCGCTAGTCTTGCTACGACGTCTGTTGTCATGGGATTTAGAAGATGTGCTTTATGTCAAACTTAACATGCGCACTGCTTCCTCGAAGAGCAGCCTTTCCAATGAACTGAGGGCCAAAATACGCTCATGGAATGCCATTGACGCTGTGCTCTACGACCACTTCAATGCCTCACTGTGGCGACAACTTAACGCAATTGGCCTAGCATGCGTGGCTAGAGAAGTGCAGCTCCTGAGGCGCGCACGGGACCAGCTGGTACGCAGCTGCTTTGGCGGTCGACTGCCTCAGCTGCGTTCAGCTGCTCAGATCACCAACAAGGATCTGCGGCCCTGGCAGCCCAGCTCCAAAGTGGCTATTGTTGGTTACGATCTGCCTGCTAACATTTCTAATAAAAGCTCAGGCCTTCCTCAGGACATGTGCCTGAAGCTCATTATGCCTGAAGTGCAATACACGCGGCTATTGCTGCGTTCAGAATCGCTGCGTTACCGGAATAGGTTTCCGTTACGTTCCTCCCAACAGACTCTAAAACGGTCAGGGCAACGACGGGAAATCTCTGCCCTGAGCTCTACCCAGCGACCTTCAGGTGCACTAGGTAGAACCACCAGAGGAACTCTACGCTTCACCCAGCAGCCCATCAATTAGTCCCATCAATCTGCTCTTTTTCTTCTTGTAAACCAGACTTGCAGGAAGAGATTTGTAAAGGACAGGAAGCTGTGGACAATGCCTGCCATTACAATTACATCTTTGCTTCTCAGGACTACAAGAGACTAGGTGGGCTAATGGGCCTCACACACACAAGTGTGAGGCTTGCAGAACCTCTCTAATTACCCTGGACTTTAGCAGCTGGATCTGTGAAGCTCATAAAGGCCAGCATGTGCGTGATGTAGGCTGTAGAATGTGACACTATATAATTGCAGCACTTAAACAAAAATACTGCCTCTGCAAGCAAGCACACAGGCCATGATTTTTATGCCTCTGGTCTTTTGAGGGAAGAGATATCTATGAGTAGGTTTGCCTTCTTCACCTTCTAGCAATGTCGGCCCCTGCCAGCCAAATGATGTTAAGGCATGCAAGGTATTTTCAAACAAGCAGGCCTACACCATTAAGCGTATATATGTGCGAGTGTGTTTATTGAAGCGAGGCCTCCGCCAAATGGTGTGGTTCTGTAAACCAGCCTTGTGCTCGTGGTCTCAAACCTGTCTCGCTCTTGACAGTTGGTGATGATGCAACCCTCTCAAAGGACGTGAAGCATTTAAATATTTAATCATTTAATCTTCAGCCTTTCCTTGGCCGCCGCTTGGGTTACACTGGCCTGCAATTCATGAGAGCACAGTGGAGCATGCCAAGCTGGCTCAGAGCAGAGGACGGCGGAAAGAATTAAAAAGGATGAACACAGTTGAGGGCAAATGAAAGAATCCACCATCACGCTAATGCGCAGGCCTAGACGAGTTCTTTTAAGTAGTTTGAGGTGACACAGTGCCCTTTTTAATGCGAAGAGACTAGGGACAAGTAGTACAATGTGATAAGCACTGTGCTCACATACAGTTGGAATGATAGAAGACAGAAGACATGATTTAACTTCATGTGAGTCCTCTTAGGAAAAAAATTATCTATTTGAATTCATTTAAGCCTTTTTTCCCTTGTTATCTTGTTCTTGGGTTCATCATTGCTCTTTAATAGAGTATATCCAGGTTTGTGGACATTTACCTGTTTAGTCTGAGACAAGTCAATGTCCACTGTGATTCTGGTCATTCCGGCACCATTAAAATAGTGTCCGAAATAGTGAAATAGTGAAATAGTGACTTCTCTATCTGCTTTTCATGGCATGATGGAAAGTCACCCAGAGCTTCAACATTTGTAATTTATTTATTTCTAATTATTATTATTATTATTATTGGTGTATTTTTAAAGTGCTTGTGCAGTAATTCCCAGGATCGTCCTGAACAATATCTATAAGTCAGGATGTGCTTTCTGAATCTATTGATTGGGCTTATTTTTATTATTATGCACATCAGACAAGTATTTGGAGCAATAGAGCTGCTATCTGAATATGAATATGTGTTATCTAATTGTATGTCTAACCCAGCCTGTAGATTATAGACACCTGGCATCACACTGTCCACTGTATCCTAATCATCCTTACTGTAGCGATATTGTGTAAGACGTGTATGTCACGGGTTAAGGAGGTTCTGATTCCATAACAGATTGGCTGGATAACTGCTGCATGGCACGTCATCCATTGTAAACAAATTAAAACTTTGAACTAGAAACAGTGGAGTGGCCATGAGGACGTGGCAAGGTGTGGGTGCTCTTGCTTAATCAGACTGCAAACTGATTTACAGAGAGCTGATGTTAATGAGTCATTCCAACACAAACTCACTTTGGGCCTGGAAGATCACACCATGGATTTCCATGCATTTCCATGCATTCCTCTGAGTGGCACATTGTCCCTATCTGGTAATTCCACAGCCATCCATATCCCAGAGTCCAAAAAAGCATAATTGGCCACACTCTGTCTAAGGTGTAGGATCTCTCAGCACAATATAAGCAACTGCTGCCATCTGTTAATTAATATAACAGAGCATTTAGCATTCTCTTCCAAACTTGTTGAGCTATCCAATAATGTTGATGGACTGTATGGTAGAGTGAGAGCTAGTGGGTGGAACTGGATACGACAAAACTGGGGAAACTGGGTTAAAATAAATAAAGAAAGACACCTCTATTTATTTTATGCAACCAGATGTTCAAACCATTACTCTAGTAATTTTTTGGCTATGAATGAGTTTTACCATATCTTTAGATTGTGCTTAGACCTTATATGTTAATCAGACATAACTCTTCTTATTTAGAAAAAACTTTTTTGAAGGAAATAGGATTAGTCCCTATTGAGAAAATAGGCCTCTGAATTTGGCTTTTATTGTGATGATTTTTATTCTCTCAAGAAATTTGGATGACTTCAAGTTCTGGTCTATATTTAGGCTTTACTCAAATTAACTCACAGAAAACAATTTACAGGAAGGGGATAACATGGTTCTCAGGCTAGCGCACAGCTCTTACTGTTAGCTGGCGCTAGCTCTCTCTAGCTCTGCTACAACAACTGCCACTCTGGCAGAACCTAGCCCTGTCCTTCACAACAAAAGTCCCTGCAATAGACCTGAGTCTAAGCATTTCTGAAGAACAGGCTACACTATTATTTTTAAACTACAAAACACAGGCGTCTGACTCCATGTTAGGTTTGAAAGAAATTCAGCAAGGCTACATACACCAGAATTTTGCAAAAAGATTAACGTAAATGTTGACACTCTAATAAATCAATTAGTTATGAGAATGCACTGAAAGGAAAAGGAAAATATTTTAAAGGAAAATATTTAAAGGAAAATTTTATTACTGGTGTTGTATTTATATCTAGCTTATATTTCAGCTCAGGTCAGTCATTCTCCAAGTAGTTAAACTCAGTATTTAAATATGATTTATGGGGCAAACTTTAAAAATTCAAAATGTTTTAGAGCACATTTTTGAAATTTGGCATGATTGCATGAATTAAATAGATGTTTGTGTTAGTGAAGTTTATGACATGATCTACCAGGTCCTAGGTGAATTAGAGTGGAATAACTCAACTGTGAGTCGGACAGGCGTACATATCAAACAATGTTAGTGATGGCCTTTCAGAAATGAGCTGCTCTTGGAAAACACGTTAAAGAAACCTCATGAAGTCGCTGTATTTTAATTCAGCAGCAGTGTTAGTCTGCCCAGTTACTGAAATACATTCTTATGACTGATGAGTTTCCATTGACCTAAGCATTAAAAATGCACACTTCTCGTCTTCCCTCTCCTTTAGATTAATAGCAAACTGCAGCAGAGTTAGAAAGAATATTGTTCTGCTGTATGTTTCATATTGGGCACTGCTGGTGAACATCTGAGGCTCGCACACATCAGCCCATTCACACCTTCTGCTTCACACTCTGAGCTGCATATCTTATTCAGCTCACACCACAGAGAGAAGAGGAGAGTGAAAGACGGTGCATTTTCACCATTTGTCTCGTCTCGAATCATAATAGAGGGCTGCTGTCACCACTTCAAGATCTTATCCTTTTAATAAGTGCTCTTTGAGTGTACATATCTGCTTATATAGGTCGATAATTCTCTACTGCTTTTCAGTTTCAATGAAGGAGAACGCACAAACCAATTAATTCTCTTCTGTATTAGCTAAAGTCTGTAGTTATGAATAATATGTCAGTGTTTGGTTTTTCTTATTATTATCTGAATTGAGAGAAAAAGGTAAACAAGAAGCTCTGGGAAAGATTATGAAAACCATGAAACTGTTCACGAAATTTTAAAAGCGGATTGTGCATCCCATCTGTAGGACCAAAAACCAAACATGACTGAGTCATTCTGAGTCTGTGGAGACAGAAATAGAGAGAGAGTGAGTGACTGAGTGAGAGAAAGAAAGAGAGATTTTGTTTTGTGTAATGCTTCTAGTTATTTTCTGGGCCTGTTAAAAAATGACACTGGGTTTATTCCATCAAGTTAATTTTTAAATAGTATTTATTCAGCAACAGATTTTTTTTTTCTTTCTTTCTTTCTTTGGACCAGGAGCATTGAAGTAAACGCTATTGACAATCACAGCTAGGGATTCCAAAGCCCTGTGCTAAGACATGTGAAGAGAATAAAAATCAATAAAGTTTAAAAATAAAAAATTAATAAACAAAACAAAAAAAAAAAACTTCTGGCTCTGGTGGTTATTTCCATTTCATATTTTCTTATCTTTTTTATTGTAAGCCGTGATGACGTACGCTTTATGAGTTTCACAGTGACGACAGTGGATTTGGTACAGTTGAATTATGGAAGTTCTGTAGGTGGAGCTATTTGGATAAGTTGTGTTTGATCTGCTTGTTGTGTCTTTGAGATTATTTAGTTTTCCACCAGACGTTGTTATCTTTCCCTCTGAAAGTTCGCACACAAGGTCATCAGCATTCCACATGATATTGGAGATAAGAAAGAAAGACTATGAGCAGTTGCATAACTGCTACAGTAGTGTAAACATGCAATAATTTACAGACAGCAGTTCATTGACGGCACTTATACTATATATAGAATTATAAAACTGTATTTCTAAATTGCAGCTTTTTACTGCATTTGTATTGTTTTTTTCTGGCACTCCTGTATTTCTAATGTGCAGATCATATGTGCTATATTGTGATCCCACCGCCGTCTGAGAACCCTCAGTTTTACCACATTATGTAGAACAAACATAATATAGATGAACACTGCACATCTATCTATCTAATAGCTCTGAAATAGCTCTGATAGCAAATGCTTAAAACTTCATGAAAACTTTGAAATGATCATGCTGTTTTATGCAACAGCATGTTTCTGTTTATCAATCTCACCATGAACTGAATATCACATTACAGCAGTTACTGCACTTATACTAATCTATAAGTCTACAAAGACTGCAGTAACCAAATACCATCATGTTTAGAGTACCAAAACATGTAAAATACATTCAAATGCATCTTTTGGGCAGTAATAGCATGTTTAAAACAAACAAACAAACAATCAAGAAACAATCAACTGTAGAATAAAACTAAAAGTGAATTTACAAAAATGGCAAGGAATGCTGGGAAGCTCCATCTGATTTATTTTTTTTTAACTGAAAGAAATGCTTGTTTACTCACTGTTGTTATGTTTCAAACAAGTTGATGCTCTCAAGGCAAGCCTATGCAATG